ATTAAATGTTATGAAATTGACCAACATAGGTCATTTTATAATTGTCTAAGTTGTAATATTCTGAGACGTAATTGTAGTGACTTTGCCCTAGCATTGAAATGCAACTTACTACGTGTGCACACGGGATATAATATATAATTATCTTCCCACAACTATAAATGCAATTTTTATAATCTATTAAATTAACCCCAAAAAACCGAGATGACATATCAATCACTTGGAACTAACGCATATTGATTCGAATGGGTTGTGGTAACCTAAGTGCTTCTTGCTCGATCTTTCGTAGTGAGGCTTATACTCTTAGTGCGAAAGGACTGGTGACATCAATTGCAAATCCTTTAGAATCTTTGTTCTTCGCAAATGCAATGCCATAATATTATAGTAAATTACTGTAACCAACACTTGAACGAACAAACTCCTAGCTCTTTTAAAGACTCCATTAAATGACTCTGATGCATTAGTTGTCATGATTCCATAACGAAATATTCTATCATAAGTTAAAGGCCACGACGTAAGTTCACGCTCCACCAATCATTGTTGAATTTCAGCCTTCATCTTTATCATATATATCATGTATCTACCAAAGACCATTGAGTCATCAGTGTTACCTTTCATGTACATCTTCTGGAACAAAAACTCAACGTCTCCAGCACACATTTGGCACATTGTTTTCTTAAAGTTATCACGCAGGCGTCGTGGACAATGACGATATGAAGCATTTGAAAAAATTTCACAACAAACATGCACCAAATCATCGTGCCTGTCGGATATAATGCATAAATCAATTCGGGTACGAACAACTGGAATTAGTATATACATATGTCTCAGAAACCACACCCATGAATCAACATATTTTGATTCTACAATCGCGAAACCGAGGGGGTACAATCCATTGTTAGCATCAATTCCCACAACGATAAGAAAAGTACATCGGTATTTACCTAACAGAAATGTGCCGTCAAGGCAAAGAACAAGACAACAATAGGCCCAATCGTTTATCGAAGGGCCAAACGAGAAATATAATCTCTCAAATTTATGAGTCTTAGACCTTTGTATTTATATACGATTTCAGGCATTAAAAACACAACGATATCCATGAACAAATTTATGATTCGATAAGACTCCTCCCAGCTCCCAAACACTATCTTCACAGCTTTCCAGTTGACATCCCAAGCTTTCATATACGAAACTTTTATGTTGAACTTTGATTCAATTTGACTTATAATCTCCCGATCTATATGCCTTCTAATACTGGGAAAGACTCCTCCCAGCTACCAAACACTATCTTCACAGCTTTCCATTTGACATCCCAAGCTTTCATATACGAAACTTTTATGTTGAACTTTGATTCAATTTGACCTATAATCTCCCAATCTATATGCCTTCTAATACTGGGAAATATGAAGTAGCTTATAAATTAAAAATTGCATTGTTGGTATCCTGTCGCTAGAATCAGAGTTGCGCAGGTATGTTGGTTCTTCATGGAAGATATTTTTTATATGCCTCCGAGGTGTTTTCTCCCCTTGTATGCAAACGCCATATACATGGTATGCCTGACTTTCCATTCTAAGCATAAATCACTGTCATTTTCTGTTTGTTTGAAGCTACAACGACATACTCCACATTATTTATAATTGACTAACATTGTAATACAAACTGAAAATCCTTTTTCTTATTGAAACACATACCCTCCATCAACTCTATTGGAATTAAAAATTCTTTCTCGACTTGGTTACCAACATATTCGCTTTCATTTGCTACGTCCTCTTCCCATTCACGAGTTGTGGAATATGCCTTCACAAATTCATTGTTTATAGTTATGTCTTCTGCAGTGTCGATATTCAGTAACAATAACATTAGACAATTCTATGTATCTCAGGGTTCATATTAATATTCACTTCATATAAATGGTATTGTGCGTCATCATCACCATCATTAGGAGTTGGATCGCTCGATCCAGTCGTTTCATAACCATCATCAACATTGATCGATGGTCTCTCAGAAGTTCCTAGTACATTCCGACAAAAACTTCTTCGGCGTTCACTTTATCACATAAACGATATTTTGTTACCAATTGTGATTTTTCAGATAATTATAATTTATTTAATATGCATTTAAATGAAAATTTTTCTCAGCATATTGCAGCATGAAACTTGGATTCGTCGAACCGTCTTCTGCCACCCTATCGAAAGTAAATATCTTATTCAATTGAGATGTTAATTGATTAACAACTAAATTTTCTGCATTAATATCTTCGACCTCTACATAAAGTAGAAGTATCTCTCCAATTGCATGCAGTAACACCATCTGATATACCTCATCATCCTCCGCAAGAGCAGCTATGAACTCATTCTTTAAGGGAAGACGACAAATCAAGTTCACTGTGTACTTCGATTTATCATATTTAAGGGCTTTCAAGACCCTAATCTTCATTTGATCTAAGTTCGTTTTAACACCCACTTGCAAGGGCTGGTAACTTCCACCAACATATGCTGGTCAATATTTCTATCATCTAAAGACAATTGTCCATCATAGATAAGAATAAATGATGCTTCACATCCATACATTATTATGCCATTACATATCGCTAATACCTATGATTAAACTAACATCTTTAGCTCTAAGAAATGAAACGATCAAAATATTTATCTAAATAAGCTTAATAATACCTTATTAAAAAAATAAAATTTAAGTATATTTAGCTAAAGAAATTAAATATATATATATATATATATATATATTCTCCAAAATATTAGCTTATTCACCAAATTAGTTCTGAGATTCACTAATATTATATGTCTTAGCTCTCAAAATTCACATCTTTTCTCTACAAAAAAAATTTTCAACAAAAAGAAAAAACTCTTTCACTAGTACTATATACTCAAAAATATCTCTTTCATCAAAACTACCAAAATCTTACCTCAAAGAAATGAAACAATCACAACATATTCTCATCTTCTATTCATACATTACAAATAAAATATGCCACATCATTCATTCCTTCATATTTTGTTATTCAGAAATCTAACATTTTAACATGCCTTAACCTTATATAAAACAACTTAATCAAGCTTAAACTTAAAAAAAAAATTCACACTTAGTGGAGTCGAGGATCTCCGGATTTCGCAAGCAGCCGATTGCCTTTTTCGCTAATAGAGCAGAGGAAATGGGGAGTCGTCGGGTTGGTAAAGTAGCAAGGTTTCTTAGACTTTGGCGAGTTTAAATTTTTTTTTTCGTTAATTAATCACTTAATTAAAACTTAAACGATACTTAGTTAAAAAAACCCTTTGACTCCTTAATCCTTTATCTTTATGCATTCCTCCATTTTATGGTTCGAGAGATTACCCTGTATTTAGAAATTTAATTAAACCTAAAATTTATTTATCAAATTAAATTATAAATAATATTAATTTATGTAACTTAACATCTTTTTAATAAATTAACCATTATTATTAACAATAACACAAAAATTAAAAATAAACTGACTGCTACACACCTATTAATCGAAATTCCTCATTGTTATCCCCTTTTGTGTCCTACGCGAAGTAGGGCTGTCAAAATCGGGTCACGAGTCGGGTTCGGGTCCAACCCGAAACTGACCCAAGACTATTTGACCCGATATGAACCCGACCCGTTTTTGCAAACAGGTTGGTTTTTTGGACCCGAACCCAACCCGCTTCAGGTTCGGGTTGGGTCAACCCGAAACCGACTCACATATTTTGATTGGAAGCAAAACGACGAGAGTTCGCTCGCTGTGCTATTCGGCTTCATTTCACAGGAGGTGTGGACTGTGGAGATCGCACGAGTCGCTTATTCGGCTCCGTTGTAGTTACTTTGCTCCTTCAATGATGTTATTGGAAGTTACAACATTTTGATTGGAAGCAACGATGGGAGCTCGCTCGTTGTGAAGGTAACTTTCTCCCTTTCGTGCGCGTCTATGATTTGCTTTTTTATCTTCTCTTTTTCGTCGTTTATGTTCCGCTTTGTTCCGCCGAACGAGGTGTGGAGATTGCTCGAGCCGCTTCTTCGACTCATTTGTTACAATTCAACTTCGCTCCTACGACATTTTCATCACTTTCGTCTGCTTAGAGGCTTCTAGGGTTTGCTTTTTATCTTCTCTTTCTCGTCGTTGTTGTTCGACTTCACTCCACGGATGATGTTCCCTTCCAATCAGCGATTGGAAGTTACGTCATTTTGATCAGAAGCAATGAAGTTCGCTCGCTGTGAAGCATGACCAAATCCCGTAAATGTGCGGAACTACATTATTCCGGGTCAAAACAGAGTCATTTTCAGGTTTCCGGGTTAACCCGAACCCAACCCTGAGTTTGAAACGGGTCAAAAACCCGACCCGAACACAACACGTTTTGGGTTGACCTGAACCTGAAATTTTTGTGTCGGGTTCGAATCGGATTTTCGGATCATGTCTTGACACCCCTAACCCGAAGGATGGAAGTAGCGCTGGGCATCACGACGGGAACCGGAGGTGTGTCGGAAATCCTTGTCTTTCTCCCTCAACTGCTCTTACCCGAAACCCTCGACGAGAAAGAAAGAAGTCACGACAAGTGCTTGGTTGCGAAGGCATTGACAAATATTCTTTCCTTGGAACTGACGGGTATTCTTTCCATTCATCTAAATTACTTAAACACGCCGAACTAGTAAATCCAGTATTTAGAAAGCTGTAGACTTTATTTTTGCCCTTTTAACCATTTGGCTGTATTTACTGCAAATACTGCTTAAATTATGCTACCAAACAGCATCTTAATGAACAGTCTATTTCATCAGTTCTCGAAAAGAAAGAAAACTTTTCTATTAATAACAACATTCTTAAAAAATCTCTGGTTTAAACTATGATTATGAATGCCTCAATATGGTTTTATGGTGTATGATAATTTAATTTCTTTTTCCCGGTGTTTACTGCTTGGAAATATTTATTTTAATTGTTTATCTTACCTTTTTCTTGGCTCAAGCTACCATTAAATGTGAATGGTTCTGTTGATCAGAATAATATGATGTGGGAGTCGCTTATGGATTAGGCAAAGACTATCTGCTTTCAATGGGAGCAGTTGTAAGTAAAGCTGCTAGTGGCATTGTTTCAGTTCTTGGCAGTGCTTTTGTGGCACCTATAAAGGCCATCTTTGGCAGGTCATGCGAGTAAGTTTTTCATTCATGGTGTTCATCTAGAGATTTGAATGATCTCATTCTATTCATTTCTATGTATCCATCTATGAGCATATTTCCTCGTTTTTGCTTGCATGCATGCACGCATGCCTCTTTTTGTTCTATGAGATATAGGTATCAGATGTGCTAAATATTCTTTCATTTATTTTTGAGTTGCTTTTTTCCTCAATGATTTTCTTTTTTAATGCTTTTATCCTCTATGATTTTACTTTTTAAATTGGCACACTTTGGAGATTGAGTTATTTGCTTGACCTTTATTGGTTTATCAGCCAATTATAAAACTTATCGCATGCCTGTGTAATTTTTTGTCGAATACAAGCAGGAAATTTTTACTATTGTGCGAACAACCTTTTTAATTAACTAATGTAACATCTTCAAGATAATAAAGTTTTTTATCCTAACAAAATAGTTTGATCCTTCTAAGTTATAAGATTTCTAATGAACTAATGTTGAGTCAATATAATCCCATCTTAGGATTGAGTCAAAATAATTCAATATGATCTCTAGCATTCTAGACCTAATGATAGTGGACATCATCCTGGTTTGCAATGAAGATTCACAACGATGGAAGACTACAATGGTTTGATTATCTGTCCCCCTTCATGCATTAGACAGTGACCAATATTGGATATGGGGTGAAATCCGTGAAGACCTCTTGTATGTCCATTTAAGTAGTTGGTCTGATCAATGGCTTTTTGGACCTGCCTCATTATTTGTTTATTTATTTAAAAAATAAATAAATAAATCTTTTTTAATCCAAAAATATAAAAATATTAAAAAAAGTTACTTGTGTTGGCAATTAATTTAATCACTAATTAAAATTTAGTCCTTAATCTAGCCCTAGGCTCTATTAATTAAGACCATTAACTAGTTCATTTGAATAAAAATAATAATTCATTAGAATAATTAACTCATTTTTAGGGTGAGTAGGATCAACTGAAATTTAAATAAAGCCAAATTATAGGATTCAATAAGACGCAAATTAATATTCTTGAAAGTTTAGCAACATAGCTTGACATTAGGAACGCATTTGGGTGTTGGGAATTTTAGTAAAGTGAAATGAAAAAGTTTTGAAAAATTCAAACCAATACATGCAGATCTATATTAGCCTGCAAACTACTTGCATCACATTTCAATAGAGTTGTTAAATTTAGAAGACTAGATGCACAAAAGCTTATACTTTTTCAGCTTAGTAATTCGTTGATGTCAACTAGCTAGAAGAACAACAAAGCCTTTCTGTCTCCATCAAAATTTCTTATAGCTTGGAAAATCTCCCTAGCCTCGCCATTTAAAACACTATCTTGAACTTGCCATGTCAAAAGAATAACTCACTTTTGATGTTTCCCATGCATGCAAGGATCAAGTCTTTGTCTACTACCACCAGTGTTTGAGAGGCTCCCAGATTGTACCGTCTCTTATGTTGTTTATGCGGATGTCTCCCTATGAATGCATGAACAGAGAGTCACCAACATTTTTGAAATGAAATGCTAACATGCCTTAATATTATGAAAGCATCTGAATGCTCCGACGTTGAGTGAAAGGAAACGAAGAAGAATTACAATGCTCTAATCAATGCTTGCAAATTAATAATCAAACCATAAACCATTTGCTTTTTGCCTTAGGAATCTGTTTATGTCAAAGTCCAGGTTCATATGTCAAAAGCTTTTAGCTTACCATAGGATGCCATCCAACTCTAATTCTGGCTGAAATCGATCTCCCTGAGCAGTTGAACCCTTCAGTCATTTGACATGGTCTTTCGTAAATGTTGTGAAACTTACCCATGTTGCTTCCAATGGACGAATTTTCATGAGACTACTATCACCGAAACAAGAAATCACTTTCAAAGCCATCATTATGTTTTAAGAACACCATTAGCACTTCTTAAGGCTGCTTCCTACGGTTGTCGACATATGAGTTGAATTAATCATAGGGGAGGGAAAAAAAGATATGAACTGAGTAAGGGAACTCGTATATTATTTAGAATATTAGGTGAATTTTCATATTCCTTTTTAGAATTTTGGATGGATTCTTCTTTTTTTTCAACTCTCTTTTTAAAGACAATATGGGAAGAAAAGTTTTGAAATTTGCCTTCTAATTATGGGAATAGCATAAGAAATAACACTTAAATTATGTAAAGGTTAAATCCTTTAACTACTTTGGAGTTGTGCTTGTAGCATACTAGGACATTTATGGCGATAGGGAGAGTTTATAATCTTAGTATTGAAGAACCTCCTCCGACTCTAGTGTTATATTACAAAGTATAACAAGGCATTGATACACTACGTTAGATATTAATTGTAGAAGATTTCTCTTGTGGTGGAAGTAGAATTATTCAGATGCAAGAATTATTATCTGGTAATGGTGGGTGGTTACTTTGGTTATTCTCCTTATAAAAGGAGAGATCAAGCGATCAAGAAGGTAGTTGTTGATGTGATAGCTGATGAACATCAGGGTCAATCATTGTCGGGCATCGCACAATAAGAGGTGGTTTGCTTAGTCATCTTCTTTGTGGAAAGGTTGGTGTTAGATATCGGTAACTGTTAAAACGGAGAATATGAGAAGGAAAAGCTTGAATTTTATTAAGCAATCTATTCCCTATTTATAGATCTATACAAGGTGTATCGATAAGGAAACAAATAATTCTTATAATAACATGAATATAATTATTCCTAAATTAATGGGAGGAATTAATGCAATCCATGTAGTCTTCCCACGGATTACTGTTCACAGCCGTGGATATCTTTGGGATCGTAAGGTTGAGATTTAACAGTAACTAATAGACATTTTATATTAGCCAGTACCTAATGATGTTGATCAGAAACATCGATGGTATGCTCTATCATTCTTCATTTAGAAAAGGAGATTTAAAACTAGGAAAAACTTGCATAAGACATCAGTGTCTTACAAATTTTAGCATTGGGTGACGTCAGGCTTTAACATTGGTCGACGACAGCATTGGTCAATGATTGGAATCAATTTTACTTTATAGTAGGTATCAACATTGGTCGACAGTAATTATTAGAGTTGTGTGGTAGCGAACAATGGAAGGAATTGAGGGTGGTGAAGATGGCATCATGTTTGGTGAATGATGATGGTGTTAGTGTTGATCAATGGTGGGCTTTAACGTTGATGTGATAACTTCATTTGTGAGGTCATGTGAAAATGACATTGTAATGAGGCCCCTCCAAGAAAGTTGATGGTTCGACTTGCAACCTGATTTTTTTATGTTTGCAACTTATATTTCACAATTTTTGCTGGTTATTCCTCTCTTTTAATTGCCTTCTTTGTTTAATCTTTTTGATGTATGATGCTTCGTATATGCACACTACCCATAAAAATTTTAGCATGAGATTCTATCATTTTGATTTTAGATTTTTTTTTTGATTTTCTGATCTTTAAATTGCGATGTTTATGAATTTGATAAACTTTTGCAATTGAACCAGTGCTAAAAACATATCATGTTTTGGCATTAAGTGCTTCTTCTATAAGTTTTTCCATATAAAATTATTATCATTTGATTTGGTAAAAAGCTTATAAGTTCTGTCTTTGTAGATTCAATTATTTTTTTTTTAATTTTAGCCTTTTGAAAATTTTAGCAACTAGTTAAGGATCCTTTTTGATTTTCTGATGTTTAAATAGCATATTGAAATTAGATGTTTTTGTTTTTTTTTTTGTATTTTCCTCTTGAGGTAAGGATCCTTTTCAATAATTTTTTTAATTATAAATACCGAAGTAGTCGTTGGTCAATAATTTATGCATTATGTTGCTGTTGTGAGAAAAAAAATCCCATGTAGTGGGATAAAGGCTTGATGTTGTCGTCGTTGTGAGAAAATATGCTTATGGGCCAAAAAAGCAATTTGTTTGACATTCTTAAATATCATAGGATAGAGTACTCAATCTATGTCATCCCATAAGTCTCTAGGATTTTTAACATATGGTCTTTCACAATTCATTTAGATATATGGACAGAATAATCACTATGTCCTTTAGTCATGGGAAATCTCAAATCTTCATGGTGAATGGAGGAGCATGCTTTGATGAGGTGAAAAGCTATCTCAATCTTTTGCTATGATGTACCGACACTTCTCCTCAAAGAGGCATGCAATGTCCAACACCGTATCTGACACTACACGCGTCCGACACGAGTCAGACACACCGAAAACGTGTCCAATTAAAAAAAAAAGATTAAATACAAATTGGACACGCGTATCCGACACGCGTATCTTAAATATTTTATGAATTTTTTAAAATATCATTTCATGTATTTAAATTTTTTACTTATTTAAAATATAAAAATTAAACTTCTTATTTCTTATCTACAACACCAAATCAATCACCCTCTCAATATCGACGATAAACATACTCTTAATATTGATGCCCAATATTTATTGCATAACATCAATTCCGGACTCTTGACATCTCCTCTCTCGATGGCTGATAAACTGCATAGACGCCCGACTCTTGATATCCAAATATTAATCATTTTAAGCAGAAATTCTAGTTAAATGACATATTATTTCTAAATTATTTTTAGAAGTATACTTATTTAATTTTTATACACTATTTTTAAAATATAAAAACTATAATACCGTGTTCGTGTCTTATATTTTCAATAATTGACGTGTCCCGTGTCCATGTCGTGTCGTGTCCGTGTCGCCGTGTCCTTGTCTGTGCATCATAGATCTTTTGCCTCAACTTCCACTTTAGATTGACGTTTTAAAATCTATCTTCCAATTTTGCTCTTTCTCAAATTTTGTTGGTTCATATATTCAGTGTTCTTTTTTAATAATTAAAAAGATGAAAATATTATTTTGTTAAAATATTTCTCCTAAAAATTAGTCTGAATGACAGGTGTAATATATTAAGATCTTACCCTTAAAACAACATAAGGTTATGTGGCCCTGTGATTGAGGACCTTAACTTCTACAAAGGAGGCGAGGGTTTGAATGCAGTAGCTGCTGCGAGTAAATTCACTCAGTCTCTCAAAGAAAAAAAACTAATCCTAATAGTCAATTGGGATGTTACTTCAGTAATATATTGCATGCCACATCGATAGACGACTTCGTAGGACAAAAAATTTGGACAATATCATATTCCAAAAAGGTTGGCTATAGAGAATTAAGTGTTTAGTACATCAGATATTTATTTTTCTACATGAGGTGCATTTTTCTTTCATTTTTGAATTTGGACAGAAGTTTTTTTCCCTGCACTTAAGATCAAGGAAAAATTTGTGAAATGTTACCTTCTGAGGGGGTTCTCTCTTTCATTGTCGTAATATTATGTAAATAGATATTTTACGATCATTTAGTAGCTCTCTTATATGTATCTATTTGGCTTTGCACAGGGGCATTTGTTCAGGGACATGGGACTTGATCTGCTTCATAGAGCATATATGCATTGCTAGTCTTGTGAGACTGTTTATTGTATCCGTGCTCACCTATATAAGTAAGCATTATGTCTTTGTGTATTACAATTCAATGTTCTTAAAATGCAAATAGAAGTATGCTTGAAACATTATGACAGTCATTTTTTGAGCAATCTAGTTAATTTATAGTTCATTTGGGGTGATTGTTACTTTCTGAAAAAGTTTTAGTTGAATTTTTGTGGAGAATTGTTTTTTTCTTTTTGAAAATTGTAGGGAAAAAGATTAATGCCACAATTTGGAAATAGAAATATTGTGGAGGGTTATTCAATAACCTGTCCACCATTGTTTGATAACCTGTCTTTTGATTTTTGAAAAATTTGCATGTCTATGTTTCTACAATTTATTGACTATCGTATGTGACATATAATTCAAGTTGGATATACACCATCTCATATTATTAATGGCATAAGGAAGAAATTTCTTTTAATGAATGGAGTTTTGAGAATAAAGACTACACACAACTTAATGCAAAATGTTTAAATTATTTTTTTATGCACTTAAATCAAAAGACTATATAAGAGTCTCTACATGTACAATTGACAAGAAAATATGGGATAGACTATGCATTACATACGAAGGTATAAATAAGGTCAAACAATCTTGTTTAAAACTTACTATTGCATGATTACGAACTATTTCACATAAAATCAAATGAGACTATCTCTAATATGTACCCAAGATTTACTAAGATAGTGACATCCCTAAATGCCTTAGGTAAAGAACTATCAAATTCTGAAAAGATTAACAAAATACTTCATTGTTTGCTCTGATATCAATTGAAAGTTCAAAAGAGGCTGTTAAACCTTGCTGAATTACCCTAAGCACACTAGGGCGGTGAATTGGTTATTTAAAGTTTTAGTGAACTAAAATACTTTTTGCTTTTTCTTCACAGTTCTGCTCTTCTTTTACCTCTTGTTCAAAGTTGGCATCATCCAATGCATTGGGAGAAGTTTTTGCAAAATGACCTGGGCTGCTTGTGAGGCATACTGGACGGCATTGGAGGATATCAGCTGCTTCTTCTGGCATAAACTGAAGGACACTAAGCGAGTCTATCGAGGAAGGTTCGAGGACATGGAAGAGGAGTTCAGCAGGACTGACACTGACCCTTCAGACGATTATGAGAGCATTAGAGTCACGAATAGGCGAAAGTCGGTTAGGGACAGACGGAAAGATCGACTGAGACGATCTTTGTATCCAAAGAGCCACAGTTCATTAAAAAGGAGACAAAGAAGTGGCCTTCACCACCATGTGAGGTTGAAGACAAGTGAGGTTTCAGTCCATGTTGAGGGCTCAAGAAGGAGAAAGAAGGCAGGGCAGATCCAAGTGAGAAGCAGAGCCCATCATATTGGACCGAAATTGTTCAACAGGTAATGAAGATGATGCTTAAAATAAGGTTTTTTTTTCCCTTATCAAGTTATTGTGCTAAAATTCAGACAATTCTACAGTTCATAGTGAATAGAAGTACTTTTGTTTTACTGTTATGATGGTAAACATCAGTGTTTTAGTACCTGTATTGTTTGTTCACATAATTGTTATGAATTATCTTTCAGCTGAAATTATTTAGACTTCTTTCTTTACTTAGCATAATTGCATTAGTTTGCTGATAGTTTGGCCAAAGTTTCTTTTACTGCAAAAATATTTTAGAAAATGTTGTGCTGCCCAACTAATAGCCCAGAAAATTCTAGAATGCTTGATAATGTGATGTGATTATATATGTTCATGTAATACACATGAGCCGAGAAAATTGCACCTGGAGCACATGATGCAAAATTGTATCAGAAATAAAAAATATGTGATTAAAACATTTGATCAATCACAACAACAACAACAACAATAGCATCAAGTCTTTATTGTACTATGTAGAGTCAGCTATATGAATATTTTTTCTCTATTTATCTTATTAAGAATTAAATTCTCATTTAAATATAATAAAACAATATCATTTCTAATACTTTTTAATCCAATTTTTTGTCTTCTTCTACCTCTCTTAACATAGATTGGAGTTAATACATCTACTCTCCTAAATGAGTCATCAGAAGGCTGACGTTTTATGTGACCCAATCATCTAAAACAACTCTATCTAATTTTATTTGTCATTGGAGCTACTCCAGCCTTTTCACGTATATATGCATTTCATATTCTGTCTCTATTTATAAAGCCTCTCATCCACCTTAGCATCCACATCTCCATACACTAAATTTTATGCTTCTCTTTTAATGACCAACATTTTGCATTATAAAGTATTGTAGGTCTCACCATCATCTTAAAAAAATTTCTTTTAAGTTTGAAGAATACTTTTCCATCATATAACAAGCCCGATGTATTCCTCCATTTTAACTATTCAACTTGAATTCTACTAATAACATAACATTCCCATTTATTTCACCATTGCTTTGAACAATTGTCTCGAGATATCTAAAATGTGCACTCTTTTGAATGACTTGATCACCTAATGTCATAATCCCACTATTAGATCTAGTTACACTCAATGTATTTAGTTTTAGATCTATTCAAATGAAAATGTTTAGAGATTGACCTTTATAATTTAAGTTTTTTTTTTTCCAACTCTACCTCTTAGTCTTATCTTCAAGAAGAATATCATCAACAAAAAGCACACACACCATGGTACATCCTCTTTCAACTATTATCAATAATATCTATGATTAAAGCGAAAAGATATGAGCTTAATGTTGATCCTTGATGTAATAGAATTGAAATAAGAAAATACTTGATCAAACCACCTTGTATTTGAACACAACAACTTATGCATGCATATCCTTAATTACTTGAATACAACCATTGTTAAATCTTTTATTTTCTAGAATTCTCCAGAACATTTCTCTTGAAAATTTTCATATGCTTTCTTAAAATCAACAAATATCATATGTAGATCGTGCTTACTCTCTCTATACTTCTCCATCATACCTCTCAAAAAATTTCCATCATACCTATAAAAAAATGTATAGCTTCCATAGTAGACCTACGTGCATTAATCCAAACTAATTTTGAGAATTATTAGTATCATGTTGTAATCTATGCTCGATTATTCTCTCCTGTAATTTTAATGTATGACCCATTAACTTATATCCTCTATGATTCATAAGCTTTTATGCATGATCGTTATTCCTAAAAATAGGAACCAAAATTTTAATTGGTTGAGAATTAAATGTTTATAATCTTAAATGAAATATGTTGAATACTGGTGTGAATAAACAAATTAAAATTTTCTGGAATTTTAAATGAATTATTGAATTTTTGTAATTTTGGGATTATTTAAGTACATTAATTAAGGGGCCAAAAGTTGAGCTTTAAAATTAAATTGATTCTTAAAATTTTAGTATTTTTCTTAAATATTAAACCCTAAGATGAGTAATTAGATTATAAGTTTGCTCAATTTGAAAATTTTTATATTAAACTGTGATTTTTTTAAGTTTTAATCTAGTTTTGAACTATAGTTAATCGGAAAGTTGACTTTTTGACTTTGACTTAATTTTGGAGGTTTGACATTTTTATAAAATACTATATTTTTATTGGAATAGAATGACACTAAGTTTTATTGATTTTAATTTTTAGGGAATTACTTAGGATTATTCAAAGTTTGATTATTTTTGAAAATTTTAAAATTATTTAATTAGGGGGATTTTAGAGTTTTGATTCAAATCAATCTCAAACTCCTTAAAATCACACTCAAAGGTTAGAAATGACCTAAGGGGATGTTTCCAAGTGTTCAAGGAATTTTTGAAAATTTTAATTATTTTTAATTAAATTAATTAATTAATTATTGGTTTTCTTTAAAAATTAAATTAAACTTAGATCAAAAGTCTAATCAAAGGGCTTTAATTTATAAGTTCAAGGTTCAATTATAGGCAATTAGAGATCTTATGTAAATTTTTAGGATTTAATATGAATTAATTAAGGTTATAGGTCAAATCTAAGTATTGATTTTGGGTTCCCTAATTAGTGGACCAAATGGGCCCCAATTTCAATGAAAATTGGGCTATGACTCCACCTGAAGTCAAGGGCCAAGCCCACTAAATTTGGGCCCAAATTGATTCATCTAAGTTGGTCAACCAAACCACCTAAGGTAACTACTAAGTTATCTTAAAAAAAATCTTAGCTCACAACTTAGGGCAAGGGAGGGTGTGCAATCAGTGGTTATAAAGTCCCTATCTTAAACTTAATTAACATAAAAAATCACATATCCTAAATCTCATTGGATAGATCATTGCATCAATTTGAACTTAGGGGGTTCAACCATGAACCCTAAGCTTAAATTGACATGAAAGTGCCCTTAAAAACATCAAATAGATGGGAGAAATTTTGGGCATGTGTTTAAAACGCCCAACATTTATCTCACAAAGTTTCAAGCCTTGGAGACATATGACTAACCACAAATGCCAAAATATAATAAATGTAATTACTGGAATTGAGATAAACACGTGCAAAATTATGGCTTGGAACTATGGGGCTTTTGAAGATCTCCCTGAGATCTTTCCAATAAGCCTAAGAACTCTTAATTTGATAAAGTGGATCAGGAGATATTATTTTTTGAAGTTTCCCTCAATTTCTTGTGAAATTAAATCTAGATTTACGCAGCATCCAACATTTTACATGCGGGCGCCATTCGATTGGCCAGCCAATTATTGCGACTGGCTATGTAAATAAAGAATTAAATATAGTCATCGGATCATTTATCGAATGTTACAATTAAACGGACTTTGGAATCACGGGATATAATCCGAATTGTTGATTGAAATCAACTGTTAGGATTATATCTTCAACCTCAACCCGAAGTCATAGACGTTCTACGGCGTGATCCTATAGATCCTCTGGTGAACTCCTTCGAAATTTCACAGGAAGGATCGGGACGATGAAAGCTTCCAATTCAACGGTGAAAATCTATTGGATTGAAAGTTTACTTCACACTTACCTGGACTACCTAGCTAGGGAGCTCGGGAAACAGTGTAATAAACCCCAACTAATGGGTCTTTCTATTGAGAAGCTTCATGGAGAGATAACGAACATTTCTCCTTTAGATATCTCGGTCGAAGGATCATATGAGGTAGGAGTTCGAGCCGAGAGCAAAGAGTTTTCATTTGAGTTTGCTCATGATGATGGCTAGGGACGGCTAAGAAGCTAGTGAATGCTATATGATTACTCAGAGGGCTCTGTGAATCGATTTCAAAACACTGGGAACCAATGGGTACTTTTGGGTGAGGGAGCGCTATTCAAATTGCCCCGTGGCCATGTATGACTGGGATCAGCTGGGCATGCCTTTGGATGGCCGCCAAGTGGAAGGGTAAACCTCGGTAGTCATTTCGAGCTCAAAGGAGTTGAACACGCCTTGGGGAACGCTTCGCGACGCCGTGAAAGGGGGGGGGGGACCATCGGAGCTCATTCTCCATTCGTTCCAGCCGCAAGTTGAGTCAGTTTGAGTTGGAAAGGATGTTGAAGATCAGGCGAGCATAACCAGGGGCTCAATTAAGAGCCCAATTCAACAATGGGGCTTAGGTTGACCCAAACTTGCATGATTTGGGTCAATCTAGGTCGAGTATGGGGTTGGGTTTGGTAGGGGAAATAAGTTGAGTCATGGGACATCAAATACAAGGGAAATTCAGCTTGAAGTGGACTGTAGAGGAAATGGGCTCAGGTCAAAGTGGTTTTGACCATTTTGGGCTAGCCTAGGGGTTTAACCAAGTCAACCCAAGGGTTGGGCTGACCTGGGTAGGTGTGTTAGACGTAGGCCTAGGTTGGGAAATGACTCAACCCTTAGTGGTTTTGATCACTTTCGGCTAGCCCCAATTCCTAACCTAAGTTGACCCAAGGGCTAGGTCTTGGGTTAACTAGGGTATAAGCAAGGGGTTATAGAGAACCTAATGCAACCATTAGTTTGATCCAATTTGACTTAGAGTGGAGTTTGGCTCAAGAGAGACCTCTCTTTGGGTACTTGGGCTAAGCCAAATTGCTAACCCAAGTGAGCCCAAATACATGGGATCTCAAGGAGGCTTCCCTAGAGACATAATGGGTCATCCCATGGGTTTGAATGGATTTGAAAAAGCCTTGGTTAAGGGGTTTGAAAAGGTTTGAGGTATATGGAAGGTGTGGTCAAAATTGGTTGATTTGGTCAACCAAGTTCAAGGGTTGGGTCCATTGAATTCAAATTGATTATATGAACTCAATGGAATTGGTCTCAAGCTAAGAGAAATTCTTTTGGTTTGAAACGAGTGTTTAAATCCTTAAGGGCCACTTTGGTTAACCATGATTGACTTGGTTAACCAGGTCAAACTAAAGGGTGTGTTTGGGTTCAATGTTTTCCTGAGGACATTTAGGATTCATTGGAATATATTTTGAGGTTTGATATGGCTAGACCATGTTGAATTAAAAAAAAAAAAGCCAAAAAATTCCCTTAAAGGGTATTTTTGCCATTTTGTCCCCCTAGTCAACTATGGGCCAAGATGGGTCGAACAAAGTGTAGATTACTGATCAACATGTCATATTAGAGGTTGTGGATGTGGTTAAAGGCTTTGGGGAGAGTTCCAAGGTCAAATTCCACTGGATGACAAGTCTAATGGCATAGACGGTAAATATTTAAAGGTTTTGCATCTTTTGGAAAATCAATTCAGTTTATGGGGTTAGGAGCCTCATATTGAGCTTAAATTTGGTGGATTGATCTTAGAGACATGTCTAAACAATATGCAATTGATAGACCCTAAATCAGAGGTCATTTAATTAAGTTTCAAGGTAGCATAAAAAATCATCCAGAAAGGGTTTCAGGACCTAGGTCCTTAACCTTGAAATTTGGTTGGGAGTCTTGAATTTGGATATTTGGACTTGAACAATTGAGTTTGAAGTATCCACATCAATGATAATCAAATAAATGACTGAGATTGATTGGATATGACATGAAGGTTGATTGCAAGTTGGTTGAAAATATGACTAGAGATTGAATTGAAAAGTGGAATTGGATTTGATCATTATTAGATTGGATTTTGACTAGAACCTGTATGATTGTCAAGTGGACATGTGCCAATCATTGGGTTACCAAAAAGAAACGCACGTGGGTCCTAGTGACCTCATACATAAATGAGGTTAACATGGTGTTTTCTCTTTATTTTCATTTAATCTCTATAACTTTCTCCTGTTGATTTGTTTGGAGCCACGATCATTATTAGTAGTTATTTGGCATCACAAACCTTATTCAAACATTTATTCAAATGTGGTTTAAACTTGGTTTACACATTATAAAAATAAATGTTTGAATGCATTGGGGTAGACATCACTTGATCGGTGATGAGTTAGTTCGAATATGATGGTTCAAGCATAATTATTAGAGTTTGCATGACCAGGGAAGCCATTGGGGGACCGACATGCCATAGAGCTCATTGGGGAAGACATCATGGGACAGACATGTGCGAGGAGAAAAGGTTGCTAAGGAAGGCACTATGGTAGTAGCGTGTGACAGAGATTGCTAGGGATGGAGGCCTTTAGAGAATGCATTGAGTGTCACATCCCGGGATATGTTTGGAGCGACGATGATTATTAGGGGTTATTTGCCAAAAAGTAGGATTTAACAAACTCTGTAAATATGATTTTAATAGATCGCGATTATGTTAAATCCTCAAAAACTTTTTGGTAAGATAACTGTTAAATCCTGTTAAAGCCAATGAAACTATTTAACAAATATAACCCATAATTTAAGGCAATTTAAATTTAAAATAATAATTACTTGTTAATTAGAGTACTAATTATCTAATTACTTATTTATTTGTTATTTTAGTAAGTATTACATTATTGATAATTGAATAATTAATTATTTAGTTATTAATTAAAATAACTATCATTTATACTTCTAATTATTTTATGAATTATTTATTAGTTTCAATCTTAATTTCCATCAATAAATTACAATTATAAATAATATAATTCAAAATTTGGTTAATTATTAAAGCATATAATTAATGATTTATCGTAGTACTAATTATTTATTTAGGTGTTGTTTTAATAAATTATTTTTTAATAATTAAATTATTAATTACTAATTAGTTTATTTCACTGTTATTAAATTAATTAGCTATTTAATTATTAACTTACCTAATTAATTAATTAATTATTTCGATTTTATTTCAATGAGTTATTATTAACATATTGTGTTATATTTAAATGTTATTTACGTGTTTGTGTTTACTTTTTAGTTTTTACCTCTAGTCCGCTTCTTCTCTGCACTTCGACTAGTCTGCTCCGCAGTTCCTTGGCGTTTGACTTCGCCTGCTTCGCATGAGGTAGAGTTTTGAAGAGTCGCGTGCTTCGCCTCCTCCTCCGACGTTCCCTTCCCGTTGGATCGTTGCCTCGCCTACGCGTGCATCGCGGGAAGTAGAGTTTTGAAGCAGTCGAAAGAGGTTTCTTGGCCCCTTTAACGGCGTTGCTCCTGTCGGATGTCAGGACGGTAGCTCGCGGCACAGGTAAGCATCTTTCTGCCTCTCGCGCGCTTCTTCCTCCCAGTTCCGTAAATCCTCCGAACCCCAGGATTTAGTAAACCTGGAATTTACGCAAATAGGTTAAGGGCAGATTTATCTCGGCGTGAGATTTCGGGATTCTCAGATCCCGTTTGGTAGGATTTACACTATATCCTGCATAAATCCCGCATAAAATCCGGTTTCCAAACAGAAGGAGCTTCCGGTGGGCGCTCTGGAATTTCTCGTGGAATGTTGTCGCGCGCTTCTTCGTCCCAGTTCCGTAAATCCTTCGAACCCCAGGATTTAGTAAACCTGGAGTTTATACAAATAGGTTAAGGGCAGATTTATCTCGGCGTGAGATTTCGGGATTCTCAGATCCCGTTTGGTAGGATTTACACTATATCCTGCATAAATCCCGCATAAAATCCGGTTTCCAAACAGAAGGAGCTTCCGGTGGGCGCTCTGGAATTTCTCGTGGAATGTTGCTCGTAGAATTAATTCTTTGACGCTAATTGCTATGAGCATATGAATGAGTAAATATTCTCACTCATTTTCCATTCTTTTATTATGACCAAACCGCCTTTCTTTTTTCTTTTGTACAATTCATAGAACTTGATGGTTTATAGTGTCCAATATCTGCCATGCAAAATTTACTACTAATAATTGGGATGGCGCAATGCTATGCTAATACAACAGTTGATTTGAAGCCTTATGTTCGATTGATTCTTCTCATCCATTGCATGACAATTTATTTTTAATGGTATATTGTTTGCATGTTAGTAACATTTTCTCTTCCATTCAAAGGAATAATTTATTTTTAATTTGCTTCTTTAGATGAATTAGCGCTCATTTTTTTAAATTTGTTTTAGAGTTTTTGGGCCAAACAATCCATCGGAAAGCTTAGAAAATGGCCAATTGATTTTTCAGTGGCATCGTTTTTACAATGTTTTTCCTTTATCAATAGCGCCACGACTGAAAATCTGTTGGAAGCGTTTGGTAGCCTTTCATCAACAATCACGAGGAAAATCCATCAGTAATGACATCAATGGTTTTTTTTTTTTAGTTTTACAGTTCTTGTTTTTCTGATAGAATTTTTAGGTTAGAAATCCACCTGAAATCATATTTTGGATGACTCATCTTTCTCTCCAGATGGATTTCTCCGTTAAAAAATTAGAGATAGTATTGTATAGATATAAACATGCATTCATACATGGATATAAACATTCATGCGCATATGTGAATGCTTAAATAAAAGTTAGGTAAACTAGGAATATTGTTCACATCCATGTAATATATTTCACATGTACAATCTCATAAAATCACAAACATTTAACTATACATGGGAGGAAATTAAGCACTACAACTTGTCTATTTCCAAGATTGATGCCCTATAATAGCAGTTTATTTTTGACCAAATATTTAAGTCATATGTTCATATTGGATTCTTGCAGCAAGGATCAGGTTTGCAACAGAACTAAAAATATATGTAAATTGTATTGCAATACTATAGCAATTACTTACAGATATGCTACATTCCATTTTTAAATATCTTACAGATTATTATAGGCATCAGCAGTGTTACTATTTTACTTGTTTCTTTCCTGATTATTGTGTTGAAAGTAATAATGGTAATGTTTTGACTCTATTATAAATTCCTTTTCTTTTTCCTGATTAGATGGATCTTGATCTATTAATTGCCACCAAATAGCCTTTGGGTTGTAAAATCTTCATATGGTGCTGAAGTTAGCAATGAAACGCTTTGTATACATCAATGATGATTCCTTCCAGGATTCTTTCTGTGATAACCGGATATCCAATATGAAGTATACTATTTTGAATTTTCTCCCGAAGAATTTATTGGAGCAATTCAGGTTCATGTTTAGTTCTTTAATTTATTATAACTGCTTCATTTGTCTTTCATACTTTACTTCAATTATTTTTTTGCACCTTTGAATTTGCATTATCTTTGATTTTTTATGTTATAGAAACAAGAAACTTTAGGCAAGTCCAGAGTTTTAGTGAATGCACTTCTTGTTTATTAATGTGAGTAGCATGCTGACTTTTTTTTTGTGTTGTTGCTGAATCTTAATTGCAACCTAATGATGATTTGCACGCATCATCCTCCATTTCTAGGCTTTCTCATCTGTGTTTTTCAGGTAGTTCAAAACTGAAATGGTAAATGAGCAAAGCTACAATACAGCATCTCCTGGTTTCAACCAAAGCCCTACATGGGGTCCTGGTTGGGTACCCATTGGGTACACATGCTTTACTCGGACGGGCTTCACCCACCCACACCCACCCATGGTGACTTTCGGGATGTCATACCCACCTATACCCACCCACATTCCATGCTTTTTGAGTGCAGTTTGCCACAGATTGATGGCCTTGAGGCTTGTTTCCCTTTTGCTATGGTTGTAAACTTTTAAGAAGCATATCAGAATTTATCGTAGTCACAGCGTGGTTAAGTGCTGCACATTACGTAATGATGATTGCATTAATATAAGATATACGATGATTATTAATGCAAATTGATTTATCCCTTTATGTTGAGTACCCACCCATACCCACCAATAAGGCCATGGGCGTACCCATACCCACCCATACCCAATGGGTATGGGTGGGTACATGGGTGGGTGTGGGTATGGGTACCCAATGCAGGGCTCTGGTTTCAACTATAATATGGAAAGTAAGGGCAGCTGCTATAGAATGCAAGACATGTTTTGCACAAGACAAAACCAGAGGATACACCAAAGAATTGAAAGTCTCATATGGAAGGGTAAAAAATTGGAATCTTAGAAAATTGCAATCCAACTACAATGATTCTGGAAAAACAGGCTTGGGCTGAAATCAAACATGTACTGAATTAGGGAATTGGGAACAAGTTAAGGAATTTGATGAGTGCGAAATTAACTTGCTTGTAGTTTATGAAGCTAAACAATTGAAGGAGCCAAAACACCAGAGTAAAGATCCTTTTTTCATATACACCATTCTCATAGGCATGTTACATAAAAAAATAAACTAAAAATAGAAATAACATAACTAAAACAACATAAAAACTTAGTATGTCATCGTGTTGGGCTCAAAACTCAAATCATTCATTTCAAATGAGTACAAGTCTTCAGATGTCAAATCTGTCTGACTTGAAAAATCAACTCTGATAAATTGAGCGTTTGATATTCATCAATCGAATATGGATATAGTTACTGTGCTTAATTCAAGTTAATGCATGAAGCAACATAATGTCAATGCTAGTGATGAAGGTACCTCTGATATCCACCTTTAATAATAGGTACAATATATTAATGATAGTTTCAAAAGTAAAATGAGTAAGACTGTTTGGTAAAATGCTAGATCTGAATTCACGGAAATTTGTTTTTTTTGTTATCTTAAAAATTTCATTTTCATTTTTAGAGTAGAGTCAATCTTCATTAAATTTAAAGTTATCAATTAAGATCATTGTCAAATTTTAGGTTTCATTTTAGATTTAGATATGACTGTAGGTTAAAATTCAATTTCTAACTGAGGTTTAATTCATAGTTGATCTCATGATCAAATTAAGTTCAGACTAAAAAGTTCAGCTCTTGTTTTGATATAGGTTTGGGTTCATTTTCAGCAGTAGATTGACTTTTTATCTCTGAGGTTTCTGTTCAAATATGATTTCACGGTCAACTTTGAGTTTATATTAATTTTTAACTCCTGTGTCAATTTATGTTCGACATGATTTATGGTTTATGATAATAATTTTTTTACGGTAATTAAACCCATGTGACAATCCCAAGAGGATGATTTTAACATACCTCAATATTTAAAGAGCTGAATGGAACTTCTCGTAGTATTTTTTTACGAATTGCATCTTAATTCATTTTAAAATAATCTTAAGGTAAAGATGTTTAGAGACAAAACGGTAAACCTATTATAATATTCAAATGTACCGCATGCACTTTGTTCACTTGCAGATGCAATTTGTTCCGCACTTTGTTCACCTACTTAAACTGTCACTAAATGTCAAATGTCATTCTTTTAGTTTATATTTGGACCATATAGGTTTAATTTCACATGAAACAATTTGCTAAACTAATTATTGTCCTATAAATTTTGATTAATCACATTTAATTTTTTGGAATCAAATAAATGGCAACAGTTAAAGAAATATCAAAATCACCGTTGTACTTTGAAAAAAAATTCACCGCCATACTTTCCATTGAATGTAGGATTAGAATGCTGAACATCATGAAAGTGAGGTTGTATTAGCTTATAATCATAACCTACTTAATGTCATTTACATTGCATATTTTATTGTTTTGATAATTGTCCAATTATTTTTTTCTCACTATTAGCTGATATGATGCAATCATTGGCTCAAATACTATATGATTGATTTTTTTAGAGGAAATTCAGGATGAGATGCACTAGATCATGCAAAAGATCAAATTTCAAAATCCGATTCTTATTTCGGGAAAAAACTTTGTATTTCTGATTTAAATCATAAAACATGTAAAACTCACTCCAAAGATAGTTTGAAAGGACAGATTTCTGAAATCTTCCAAGAATTTAAGAGCAAACTAAAACCGCATAAAGATAATGGTTCATCTCGTGAAAGGAAAACTAAAGTGCAACAGACTAAAGTAATTCTCAATCTCACATGCAAAAAAATCACAAAACATGTAGATGAAATAGGAAAATGATATAAGTCACCAAAAAATTACATGCCACATAATGTTACAAGGAGGAAGCTATATACAGGAAGTTATTATCTAGGCTTGCTCCACGCTGGAAGTATTCAGATCCGTTAACATAAGTTTTTAGAGAAACATTATGCATAAATTGAATTTTTTCTTGCCTCAGGGTCCGTATTTATAGCCCAAAAAACCTATAATTGATGTTTTATGAAAATCTAGCCTAAAAACTGGTACTTGAAGAAGTTGAGATCTCTGCTGCTGTTAGCAGAGGCGAGTCGAAGGAAGCAACAGTGTGTAGTGACTAGTGAGCAGTGAATTCATTACTGTAGCAGAAATTACATATATATGTAGGTAGTGCTAGCTAATGCCTGCTTTACAAGTGCACAGTGCAGATGTAAAGGTTTGTTAGGATCTTATGGTTACAAGTATTCCACTAGTACTGCTGTATGTTATGAGTGTAGTGCTGAGCTGTCTTTGTATATGTTGGTAGTGGTGTTAACCGTTAATACACCCCTGCAAGTTGATGGTAAGTTTGAACAGTCAACTTGTTTCGTAGAATTTGAAAACGTCGAGTGGGTAGCGTTTTGGTGTGGATGTCGGCGACTTGGTCTATGGAGCTGATGAGAAGTATGCAGATCTCCTTGGTGTGAATGTGATATTGAATGAAGTGATGATCGGCTTCAATGTGTTTGGTTTTGACGTGAAAACCGGATTGTTAGCAAGGGCGATAGCGGATGTGTTGTTGCAGTGAATGTTTGTGGGTTGAGGAGTAGAAATACCGAAGTTATGTAGAAGACGGTGGAGCCATATGAGGTATGCTGTAGCTGCCGATAGAGACCTATATTCTACTTATGTAGATTAACGACAATTGTGTGTTGCTTTTTGATATTCCATGAGATCAAGGTGTTCCCCAAAAATGTACAGTAGTCAAATGTAGAATGGCGAGTGTCCGGATCCCCTACCCAGTCCACTTCGAGGAGGATAATGTGAGTGGGCCTTTTGTGATAGGAATGCCATAATGGATGGTACCTTTGATGTATTGGAGGAGCTTTTTGAGGAGAATAGAGTGTTGAGGAAGAGGTTTATGCATGTGTTGACATAGTTAGTTGACTGTAAAAGCGATGTTAGGTCGAGCGAGAGTCAGGTTTTGAAGGGAACCGATGATTTTGCGATATAAGGTGGGATCAGTCAGTTTGGAGGTTACAGATGATTGGGTAGGTGGTTTGGTGAAGTTAGGATTTGAACTGGATGTCCTTCATGTGTTCATCTGCCTGTTTTTTCATAACATGCTGTGCTCTCATTAGGTGCCTCTTCAACTCCTCTAGCACCCTATCTATTTCCTCCAAGTATTGCTCTACTGAAGAGACTGTTATGCTCCCCTGCCCAAAATGCACAAAGTGTTGGGGATCTCTGCCGTATAACACTTTGAATTGGGTCATCTGAGAAGTTGAGTGATAAGACGTGTTGTACCAATACTTTGCCCGCGGTATCCACTTGGCCCACATTCGAGGCGTTTCTGAAGCAAAACATTGCAAGTTTCCAAACTTCTATTGACTACCTATGTTTGCCCATCTATCTAAGAGTGGTAGCCAGTGCTCCTCTTGAGAACTATACCCTATAGCCTGAACAACTCCCTCCATAACTGATTGAGAAACACCTTATCTCGATTAGATATTATGGACTATGACCATGCAATCTAACCACCTCCTTGATGAATGCTTTTACTAATGTAACGGCTGTGTAGGGATGTCGTAAGGGAATGAAATGAATATATTTACTCAACCTGTCAACCACCACCATAATCACTGTGAACCCCTCAGATCGTGGTAGCCCATCTATAAAATTCATAGTTACCTCCTCCCATACTCCCATATTTTGTCTGGAAGAGCTAAGGGTTGAAGTAATCCCCCTGAAGCCATATCCATGTACTTGTTTCTATGGCATATCTCACACATAGCTACCAACTCCTCCATATCCTTATGCATCCCTTTCCAATACAATTATGTTGCGTACCTTTTGTAGGTCTTCTGCACTCCCGAATGGCCTCCAACCACGCTCCTATGAAATTCCTATAACAAATGGGGAATATGAACCGAGATTCGTGGCATCACAAACCTCCCTTGGTACAAAAGTCTCTCCAGCTCAAGGGAGTAGCCTGGGTGGTTGCTTTCATCCTTTAGTAAATAATTCCT